AGAAATACTTTTTTTAAATGTTTGTATTGTATTTCACCGAAAGTATCTATAAACAATAGTTAAATTCAATACCATATTTACCCGATTATAATATGACTGTAATAAGACAACCCCCTAATTTTGAGGATGCTTCCAGTTTTCATTTTATCTAATTCTTGCTATTCAATCAAAATAAATCTGCATTTTATCTAATTGACTATAATTGTCTTATTGATGAGAATATTAAATTTTTTCCTTAGTTGTCACCATTTTTTTTACTCATTAAGATCATTTTTGTCACTACAATGTTTATCTTCACATGAATGATTGTTTCTTTCTTTTTATTCCTTTTCCCTTACTAAATTGTCCTCTGATCCTCTAAGTCCCCTTGAAAATTTTACCTGTTTACATTATTCCACATAAGTGATTTTTTTTATTGTGTTTCACCTTAAAATCCCAATTTTTGCTTGTTTTGAATTACAGCAGTAATCCAGAAAAGCAACCGTTTTTCATGGTGACCTAACATAAAATTGCTCGGTAATGCCTAGAATTTGAACTAAAAATAAATCTTTTAATGCAGGTAATTAAATTATATTATTTATATTTTTTAATGCAAACTAATTAATTTTCATGCTTACACTTTTAATCCATCTCAAAATTAATTTGATGAACTAGATATCCTCTCAGAGATCGAAATAATAATGAAAATGTTTTTTTTTAAATTAGAAGCAACTACCAAGAGCTGGTTATGCAGAGTGACTATCAGTGTCTTAGTAAGAATTCAAAGGTGGTTTGTCACACAACTTCAATTATCTGGATCAAAGATCTTTTATTACAGTTGTACAATAAGGTTGTGTTTTTTAATAAGGCATCAGAATTATTTGTATTTGAGAATTTGGGTTTCCTTGTGCCATAATTGAAAATCCAGAACTAAATTATGAATGAATAAAAAAATTAATTTTGTTCCCTTATAACAATTAAAATATACTACAATTTTTTTAGATACATTAAATACCAATTATTTCTGCTCTTAATAAACTGACAAGATGTTTGATATGTTTTTCTTTATTTAAAACATCTATTAACTATTTTCAAATGCTGCTAATTCAGTGAGAATATGAGCGCATGTAACTCGATGTGTCTTCGTTATTTAGGAATTGCTCAAAAACCTACGTGAGTAAGAAGACTTGGAAATTTGGTTTTAAAATAATTTCATCTTTTAATAATCATCTTGATGGCTTTGGTCTAAAAAGAATATTGTTAAAGGAAGTAATGTAAATGTAGAAGAAAGAAAGAAAAAAATGAATTATTATCTAGTTATACGAGACTTCTGTCTGTTATTCTAGTCATTTGCATCTTGATGTGTTACAACAACATATTGAAAACTTGTAGTATTATTGTTTTTTTCCCCTCACTTTTTAATTGTGATAAAATTATTGTGTATGAGACTGCACAAGTACTTATTGTTGGAAGTGTGTTGATGCTTCCTTTGGAGAAACTCAAACTTGTTTTTACTGGTGCTCAAAGTTTATCTTGCAGCACTGAAGTTACTTTGTATGATTGTTGAAATAACTTGAGTTTTGTAAACACATGACCAAAATTGGAATGCTTATATTTTGCATTCTGAAGAATAATATTGATAACACAGGTATTTGTTGACACCAACAATACTGAATTCCATTTAATGGCCAGTGTCATTGATTTATATAATCTTAAATAGTTCCTGTTACGTTTAAAAAAGTGCTAGTTAGAATGGAACAACTTGTGAAATTTCTAATGAGAAAAAACATTTGTCCGTTATTGTTTTGAATCCATTATTTTTCATTATTTAGAATTGAAATTTCTTCCAAAGTACACCACTTACTCAAATAAAAATGTTAGGACAAAATCTAGCCATTATATACATATATGCAGATTTAATAAACCATTGCTAATAGTTAAAAAGAAACAGACATTTCATTGTCTAGAGCATGAAGAGGTTTTGTGTTTATGCCAAATTAGAGGTGAGGTTAACCTGATTTTTTTAAAGTTTGATGCACTTTGTTTTCATTTTCCCCAAAAGTACATCAAGTGAACTAATACGTTTGCGTATTCCTTTTGTAATAGTGGAAATCGAAACACAAGATTTCCTATATTTTTTTTTATTTTAATTTAATTTTAGTTTTGTAAAGTTACATACTTCCAAAAATTAACCATCAGTGTTTGAAAATATAAAGAACTTAGTGTGGATCAGTCAATGGAGAATATTACTGAGCACCAATGCCCATGACAAATGACTTGAGGGATAGGTGTCAAGAAGCCGTAGATGGATGTGAAAGTTAATGTTCTTGAATCGAGGCAAATAGTGTATATAACTTAATGAGACAATAAGAACAAAGATAGTGTAGATACCAATAGGATAAGTGCAGTCCACTGACTGCCTTTTGTTTGTGCTATGTTAAAGGAAGTAGAAAAAATTGAGGATCAATAAAAAGTAGGGTAAAACTATTGTTTGTGTACTCCATGTAATAAGATCATTTGCTTTGGATTTAGTGGCCTAGGAATGTTAGTTCCACTGAAAGCCATTGTAATGGAGATGTCCTGACAATACCTGTTGATTGTTTTGTTGAATATATTCTGTGATGTTTGCTTGTAGTGATGTAGTGGCACACAAACCTCAGGAATCTTTTATTGTTGAATTAATTTGTTGAGAGTTGACAATACAGTTTCAAGAAGGCTTGTACCTATCCTTCAGGTCATTTTTGTGTTGTGTAATAAAGTGTGTCATAATTCAAATATATTTATGAATTATGTCTAATGTCCACATTATGATCACAATGTCCGTAATGTTCACATTATCCCACTATAATATACTACAAATTTCAGAGATATTAATTCCCGTATAAATATCTCTTTAGAGGTGTCTAAGACACAAGTAAATGTTATATTTCATTACTTCTGTAATTAAGGTAATCTCTCTAGATTGTGTTTAATGTGCACAAAATGGAAACACTGCTCTCAAAAATGCCATGTCTAAAATTTGTTTATACTGCCCATTAGACTATAATGTATAAAGCAAGACATTACCATGTGAATTATGACGTACACCATACCCAGATAACTATATTACCCAAGATATTTGCCAGATACTCTTTATTAAGAACAGTGCAGGAAGTGGATCATGGAGAGTGTTTATTTTGTGTAAGCATGCTTCGACAGCATTCTGTTTACTGCATGCAGTCTCATGAACTAAGAGCTCCTATTAAATGAAGTGTATTTCAATTATTGTTATTTTACATATTTAATTTGCAAACACGGGCCCTGTGGTATTGTTTTATTAAAAAATATTTTAACGTACAATTTTTTAAACATCTCAGTTTAAAGAAGCAGTATATTTTACATCTGTTGATTGTAAATAAATATTTTTGGAAAATAATGTAATTATTGGGTCCTATTGTAACTTTGTTGGAAATGTTGTTTTAAAAATGTTTATTGGGTGGAAGTAATTAGATTCTGCCCCTACATCCTAATTCAAAAAGTGTTTTGAATGTAAATCTTTTTTTAAAAATGTGCATTATCTTAATCTAACAAAAAATGTATTTACAAATGTAAAACACTCTCACAAAATATATTGCATTTTTTGAATCCAGTTAGTCAGTGTGAGCTTGACAAAAAGTAATTTTATAATATAAATAGCACATTTCATTTTTAAATATTGTAAACCATAATCATAGAAGGAGAAAAAAATCTTTTTAGGAATGCAAATGTGGTCAGGGAGAAAAGGCAGAAGAGAAAATTAAAGTACAAAATAGTGCTTACATGTTACTTAACATTTTCAGATTGAACCAAAAGTGCATTGCATTTTGGCAATCTTATCAAATATAACCAAATAGGTTTGTATCTAAACTTTCTTTGTACTAATATACTCCACTTTTGTGAATCATACTTGAATGTTTTCATAGACTTGCAATTATGTGACAGGCTATAAAAATATGTGAAGTTCGAAAAATATGGAAATTAAGCAATATGAAGTGCTTCCATATCAAGTCCTTTGTTACAGTTACCACTTCTGGCACTGTTCTGTCTCAGACTGTTTCTGTTTGTTTTTGTACTGCATCAGATGTTGGTATCTATAATAATTTGTGTCTTCAAAATTTTTATAGAATAAAATTGAGCTAAGAAAAAATATTTTTCAATATTTAAATATGTGGTTGGGTTATCTATCTGCCTGTACGACATGTAACTATTAAGCAAGTGGGTGTGCACGTGTGTGCATGCATGTACATAATCTTATTATTTTTTAAATTAAAATTACTGCATTGAATTTAAAAAATACAAATAAGTTATTGAATTTTGAGATTAGAGAAGGAAAGTTGGGTAAAAGCTTGTACTATACTAAATTTTTTATTGTGTGTGTATATAGACATTAAACATAAATACAAATACCTCTATACACTCACATTAAAAAATTGATTTTGTGTTTGAAGAGAGCCTATTTTTTTCTGAACAATAAACGAGAGGAGGCTTTCACCATTTCTTCTTTTTCTTGAACCATTGTTTACAGTGATAAATATAGCTGCATTATTAAAGGAATGTGTAGAATTAATAATAAAGCCATTATGTGTTTGTACTGATTTACACCTTATTCTCTGACCTCATAATTGAAATTTTAGTTTCTGAGAAAACCATAAAACATTAGAGCAAATCATGTATTAAGTAATTTAAATGTGGTTCACTTCTTTAGATGCCGACATCTATGCTGCCTGTCTATTACATTTTAAAATTCCTTTGTGAAACAGTCTATCAACTAGCCTTAATTCAGCTACGGCTATGATAATTTTGAAAATAAGTTTATTCTGTTTTTGTGTACCACACATATTGCTGAATTTAAAAATTAATTTTATTTTAAATTTTAAGGATAATGTCACAAAATATTGTCATAATTAAAAAAATTGTGATGATTTGAGAGTGAATACGTTCAATGAGATTTGTGTAACTTGTCTTGACGTAAAAATGTTCAAATCTAATAAATACTATTTAATGGAAAACAAATGAGTATAGGTACCATTTCAGGGCACATTTTGGTATATTTCAACACATTGGCCATTACAATGGTAATGTCCACTTGTGTGAATTCTGTACCTGATTTTATTTATAATTTCATAAACGCATTGATTGATATATTATGTAATTTTGTCAGCAGTGTGTGTGATATACTAATTATCAGTAAGAGAAAAATGCAATTCTCCTTGAACTAAACTGTTTTCAATTTGACATTTGCTTAGCATTTTTTCTTCCATAACTATGCCTTGTTGTAACTTGTTTTTTAATTCTTGTTTCCATATGCAGGGTACAGAGGAAAAACAAAGTCCACTTTTGCTGAAATTTTAGATTTTAACACTATGCTATTGAAGGAATGCAATACTACAATTACATATTTATTCATAAAAAACATTATAGGCTATAATTAAAAATTGTGAGAAAAAAAAAAGTTTTCTGCTGCATTATATGGTGCTTTAAAACTTTAATTCAATTCCTGTGAAATGTATGCAAGTGGACTGAGATTGCATTTTCCCTGCACTCTTCTGTTTTAATTGGGTTATTTGTTGGTATTGTAACATTGTAGTTGAGAGTATTATAATATGGATAACAGCTACGAAAACATGTTATTTATTAATAAGCTACACCTAAGTAAATTATTGAAATGTAAGCAATATGTATATATCTTAAAAATGTTGAGAAAATGTTCCCAAGAGTATTTTTATTGTATTCTGAACCTGTATACAAATGTTCATACATGTGAAAAAAAGAATTGAGAATATACTAAAATTGTGTTAATGCTTATTATTAGATTCCAGAAGTTAACAGATATGAGGCAATGTTTTGAATATATTTTGTGACTTTTTTTACGTCATTAATAGTGAAGTAGAATTCTTTACTGAAATAAATTAATATGAAAGTTGTAGATAAAAGATGGTTTAAAGTAAAAGTCTTTACTTCACGATCTTAGAACAGCACTGAATTTGAATTTTAGAATGTAAAAATCAAAATATTTTTCACATATTGGTCACTTTCTTTTTACATTTCTTAACTATTATGACAAACCTGTAAAGAAATAAATTTACAAGAACAAACATTTATAAATCCAACTTCTCACATTTATGTTACTCTCTTTAATTTTTTTTTACTTTGTGGTATTAGATAAAATAATATATGGCTAAATGTAGCTAAATTCAAGGCTAAATATATTTTATTCACACATGAAATTAAGCCCGTTCAGTTTCCTTATGTCAATTCAGTGGCTA